TTTACAGAAATTTCGATTTGAGTAACCATGGCAACATCATTCAACAAAATCAAAAAGCAATAATGACAATTATGTATCTCAGTGAAGTCTACTTGTATGCCAGGTTATACTGAAATCAGACAAAACATGTAGGAGGAGTAGCGTTTTGAAAGTATTTCAAAAAATTTCTATTTCTAGTAACCATGGCAACACCTTTCATCAAAATCCAAAACTGGTACAGAGAATCATGTATCTTAGTGTAGTATACTTGTGTGTCAAGTTATACTAAAATCAGACCAAAACTGTAGGAGGAGTAGCATTTTGACAGTATTTCAAGGAAATTTCTATTTTTAGTAGCCATGCCAACACCGTTAGTCAAAATGCAAAACCAGTATAAAGAATTATGTATCTTAGTATAGTCTACTTGTGTGCCAAGTAATACTGATATCAGACCAAAACTGTAGGAGGAGTAGCATTTTGAAAGTATTTCACAGAAACTTCTTTTTTAGTAACCATGGTAACACCGCTCATTGAAATCAAAAACCGATATACAGAATTATGTATCTTAGTGTAGTCTACTTGTGTGTCAAGTTATATTGAAATCAGACCAAAACTGTAGGAGGAGTAGCGTTTTGAAAAATTGTTTACAGATGGACAGACAGACGACGGACACCTTACTATCGCATAAGCTCTTCTGGTCTCTTACCAGTAGAGCTAAAAACTAAAATGTGGATACAATTCAAAGACTATCAATCGACCTTTGAAACGCATACTTGCAATGAAGATGCAACGAGGTCAAAGAATAGGCCTACAAAATCGCTTCATGTCGAAGGTCGAAGGCAAAGGAAATAATAATTATTCTTGAAATCTTGATACAATATTTTGCATTATAGCTTAAATGGTTTTCTTCTTCTTTTAAATCATAATGTTCACCATTAATAAGTCAGTAAAACCTGTTGTATTTGGGCGATATCGATAATTTCTGGATTTCTTGCATGTCAAACATAGTTACATTGCATATTGACATGATTATCTTGCATGTCGACATATAGAAAAATAAATGTATGGATGCAGAAATGCCACCACAATGTCAGAAGAATGTTGTTTTTTTTATCTAATGTGCGAAATATGGCGATGTTGAGCTGTAATACAGAAATGTCGAGGTGTTATGCAGTTTTCTTGTTATTTTAGGTCACCTATTTCATTCAGGCAACCTGTTTCTTTTTTCTGTCGTCGTCTGTCATTGCAATTTTTTTTTGTAATTTTGGTATTCCCCCTGGCCTTACAGGTAGGATCAAGACCAACAAAATTAATGAAATTTCCAAGTCTTCTTTCCTCCCGAACTTCTGATTTGCAAACTGTTGCACGATTATAATAAGCAATGAGCCCTCTACCAAAATTGTGAAGTATATTTCTCCTGAGTATATGGTTTAGGCTTCAGGGTGGAGTTTATTTGCTACTTTATCATAAGCAAAAATATGGCGAGAATTCAGTTTTGGCATTACTAGTATTATAGCGAGAATTTTGAAATGACTAGAATAATTCATTTTGCATAAGAGGTAAGCGTTATCTAACGGTATTTAAAACGCACTACATCTTATCAAATCTTCTTTATTCATGGGCATCTAGCAGACAAACTGTGTGCATTATTTTTCTGAGTACTCAACATTTTTATAAGATTGTGAAATTCATCTCCCCATAATCCATGGTTCAGGTCTTACAGTATGATAGTGTGATCATAAAATGAGAAAACATTTCATATCTTTGAAAATCTTCAATCATGGGCATTTCACATGCAAACAGTTTCATAATTATAATAAATACTTAGCCCTACACCAAATTGTGAAATCCATATCCCCCTGGGTCCAGCATTCAGACTCTAGGTTGGAGCTTTAATGTCCATACATTTAAAATACATTATAACTTTGAAAATCTTCCTCTTTACTCACTGACTTATAGCAGACAATCTGTTTGCATGATCATGATTAACACAGCCCTCCACTAAATTTGTAAACCTTTTTGCCCCCTCATTGGTTTAGGCCGTAGTGTTGGCTAAGGTGTTCGTATGTTGAAAATACATACAGACATCTTGCAAAGTATGTTTCATTGCTCATGGACATCAAGAAAATTATTGCATGATTATAAAGAGCTAGGTTCACTTTTTCCATTAAATGGCCCTGACCATATACCAATCAACTGATCAAGTCCCACAATGTCCCATTTTAAACATCAATATAAAATAGACTTAATAAGTACTGTCTTTTCCTATAAAAAACTTTCCTCTGAGAGTAATGGTATTGAAAAACAGGCTTTGTGAAATTGCAATGTTCTTGAATTTGAAGAAAACCGGTGTATTTGAGTACCTTCTGTAAAGAATTAAAATATCCCCCCCACACCTCTCGATCAAAAAAATAAGGCATGGACTATAATCTTCTGAAACAGTTCATTACAGTATTGTACATTTAGGATCAGAGTTGGAATCTATGCAAAATATTGAAAACAGCTTTAAATTTCAACCATTTTTGAAGATATTTTCGGGATTTGAGGATATGACGCAATTCATGATGTCAAAATACATGGACTAGCGAGAAAATTACGTCATTTTATATAAATATGCAGTCACCAAGGGTCCAAGTGAAATTTAACGTATTTTCAGAAAAAAAAATTAGAAAGTTAGAAATGGTGTTGCTCAAATTTCATTTGTAAATGCCGGTTTTTTTTCTCTTAAAATAATCACTTTTATTGTTTTGTCAAAATGCCTTAGTTAAGGGATTTTCTAGAAATATTTGGTTGTGTTCTCTGGTTCAAGGAAGAACCGATTATGTTTTGAATCATTCGCCAATCGTACTTATAGATGGATTAAATTCATTTACTTTTATTTACATTTTAACCCCAGATTTACCATAAACCTCTCTTTTTGTCAAACTAGATAATAACATAAGTATGCATACTTCAGAATTTATCATTAGTCACAATGTTTTCATCATCATCATCATCTCTCTCTGATTCATTAGGCATGCTCTCTGACAAAATGACAACAAAAAAGGACAAAGAAACTTAAGACATAACCCAGATTTTACTGGCTTGTTATATATATAATGACAGAGTGGAAAGTGTAAATATCCGTGAATACGAATACACCAACAATGCTTGCCCAACATGCAACAGACATCCACCAAGTTCCGTCATTCTGCAAAAGGTTATTCAAAGTCACCAACATTTTAACCTGACGATTCCATAAAAGGGTATTTGAATATAATTTTATGTTGATAAATTTTGTAATGGAGTTTCTGTGATATACTTTACCATGTAAGTTATTTTTTTTTAGTTCATTTCATAATTGATTTCGGATTTTTAAATCGTTAAATATACTGATACTTAATCTTAATTTTGCCATTTTTTTATTTTTAAATATGTTGACACTTTACTGTACAATAATGAAAGCAGTATGATAATTATTATCCTTTCATCATACAAAGTAAGTATGTGTAATGTAAAAAGAAAATTATAAATAATAAGAAAGATAAGTTATCTGTTCAAAAGAGCAGCTGTAGTTTGAAGTACGTTTCAGTGGTGAAAATATAAAGAGTTAATTTCTTCATCATAAATGTCGTTCATTTCACAAACAAAATGATTGATTGATTGATTGTATGTTGTTTTACGTCACATTCGAGATTTCTTCACTCATATAGAGTTGTCACCATATACCGGTGAAGGGCTTCAAATTTTGACCTTAACTCGGCACTCAGGGCCATTGAACAGTAAGGGTTCTTTATCGTGCCAACGCCTACCGTGACTCGGGGCCTCGGTTTTCAAAGTCTCATCCGAAGGACCCGCAACTTTCACTTCAAAGTGCCGAGCGTATGGCGAAGGAACAGTGGCTTCCCATTTTTTATCGACTTAGGTCAGTCGCGGCCGAGATTCGAACTCACGATCTCCCGATCACGCAGCGACCGCTCTACCGACTGAACTACCGTGAACGGTCACAAAAAAATGATCAAAATAACAAAATAATGCAAAAACAAGTAAACATTTAAATCCGGCAGGATTATCATGAACGGCATGACAAGAGAGGGGCATGCTTTCACGATAAGAAGAGAATCAAATATTCATGTCCTTTGATCTCAATGTCTTTTCAAGTTTCGGTATAAATGCTAGAATTTCTACTTCGTCTTCCGTTCCAGGGTATTCTAAGTACGACTTGCTACTACACAAGGTCAAACAAATTTAGAGGAATCCATTTCAGGATGTTCTTTTCCAAAACCACCAAAAACAAAACCTTATTGCCGTTGCAAGAATAAATGGCTTCCATGTCTGTTGCATGTTGGGCAGGTATTGTTGGTGTTTCGTTGAAATACAGTAGACCCCCTCCCTTTCCAATTTTGACATCGAATAATGACAGGCACAAATTAAGTCTCCCTCTTTCCTCTCTCTCTCTCTCTCTCTCTCTCTCTCTCTCTCGAAGACTTTATATCTTTAAGAAGTGCTTCAAGCTAGAAAAAACTTCATTCATGACGATATTCAGTAGCACAATACCATATACAATGAAATATATGGAGATAACGAACAGTATTCAAGCTCAAAAGTCCATTATACAATACAAAATAGGAGCAGAGCAAACACGGACCTCCAAACATCAGAGATGGAATCAGGTGCCATGATTCAGCAATTAGGAGTGTATTACATGTACTATACTGTTAGGTGGATGGAGAGAAAGGTCGAAGTTTGTCTCTCTTAAAGATTGGAGACCATTTTTTTTTTTAAATTTAAAATTAAAGGGTGCGACTGCATTGCTTAATGATATTATTTTGTATCCTTAGCGGTCGATCATGTCGAAATCATTAAGCGGCGATTTAGCATTAGTGGTTGAAAATGTCAACTATTAATGCAATAATGCAATGATTTATGGCACAATTGCAACGCTTAATGATATTTCTATCATAAAGCGACGATTTATCATTAGCGGTTGCTACAAGGCCTGCATTTTTTCAGGTTTTGCTGAAACCAAGTGTAAATTATCCATGGTTAGAATCAATGGACATTGTTATATGTTTGGGTTGGACAAAAAAAGTTGGTTTGAAAGCAAAGTATGTATACAATAAGCTTAAACACTATGATAAGAAAAGGATCTTAAATACTTGTATAAAAATGATTTAAAATGATATTGAGCTAGCATGATGATACAATGTATATATTTTTGTAAGCAATGCATTTGATTTAAATGATTACTTTTACGCGATATACTTTAAAACATCTATATTTCTTGATTTCTTTTTATTTAAATTATCTTTTAAAATTAGCATGAAAAGGTTAGATATTTAACCGTTCCTGTTACATTATTTAATGTTTTTCAGATTGCATGCAACACAAAAAACTCTTATCTTGCTAATGTGGAAACACCGAAGGAAAATGACTAGATTGTCCAACAATTCTTTGCTTTAAGTGAGAAAAATTAAAAATTCATTATATGATAAGATATTGGCAAGTTACATGCAATATTTATTGACACATAACCAAATTTTTGCTGGACTTTTCTGTAATTTAAAAAAAAAGACCCATTATTCATTAGTGCAGAACAAGAAATTTGTTCCTATTATCTTAAAAATAATTCACTTTGAAAGGAGTGAATTGTTAATTTTGTAGGAAATGCTGCTTTAATTTTTTTTTTAACTTTTCGATTGAAGTCAATTTTGTATAACATACCTGCAATGTTTTAAAAAATTAAGGAAAGCAAACATGCAAATGAATACTTCGCCATAATACCTCATGTGAAAGCCCTAATAAAATACAAATTATGTCAAACGAAATTTTAAAAAATATATATCTTCTATTGAAAACAAATTATATTATGATCATTGCATCTTAAACAATATTTAAGTGAAATGAAATTTAATCAATATTTTATTATGTAAAGTCAAATTACATAAATGGATTGGATATTAAAATGTTTAGAATTAACAAATATGTGTAATAGTTGACAATGAAAAAGTAATTCATAATTATTTTTATTAATTTCTAATGTAAACTAGAAAAGAAAGAAATGAAAAAAGATAAATTATACACAGGAGTTATTGCTTAGCTTGTATCCACATTATACAATATAAGAAAAGAAAATGAAAGAGTGCAGCAAACAACATTTTTTTAGTTTCAAAATTTCTTGAATAAATCAGCTGACACAGAATTCTTAGAACTTTCTTTGATTTACAAAATTTATGTTTTAGATAAAAACCGGATTCTTTGGATTGGTGGGTACATTTTGAGAAAAATTGGTGATTGGAAATGGGAATCAACCGGTGAAACTTTTCTTGCAATACACACAAAGCCTACGTATACTTTAAACATATGGTTTATCCTCACATGCATTTAAATAGAGGAAAGTAATAAAATAAAAACGTTATCATCTAAGATTAAGCATTTACAAATTATCTGAAAAATTTATCAACACAATTTTTAGGTTGTTCTAGGAAACAATCATTTTATATAATAATTCATAACAATAATAATATAATAACTTTGGCATTATTTCAAGAATAGAAGAAGTGATTTGATTACTTTTTTGCAATTAACCAACAATGAAAATACTCACAATGATTCTTTATGATCATTTTTCTAATGCCTGTAGTTTCTTAAATCAGAGACATTTATATCTCTGTTTAACTTGTGCTTTTAAGTTCAAAATTTTTCTCGAAATACATTAACTGAATAAGATTTGTTTTATTTTAAAAATGGCAGCAATTTATTGAATGTCTAAAGTACACATAAAAGTAAAGTTTTCTCCATAAATTCATACCAGTTGTATTTAAGCATTAATGCGAGTATTTATGTAAATGTTTTCACTGTGATTTCCTTTTACTGTAAATTCTTGGATCCACTCATTAGCTGATCTAGTCGATGCCCATGTTTACTAGTAGTGCATTTTGATACACACGCGCTGACCATCATTTACGCAAGAGCCTAGATAACTGCACGTATTTTGAAGACCCACCACTACCCAAGCGATCCTATCTCTATGACTTTTTATGATTCCTGTGTAGTTTTTCTTTAAGATGGACTGTCATACGTTTAGATCTCTATATTTAGAAATCGCGTCACTTGCCAAACCACCAGCTTATCAATGGCAGCTTACACTGGAACTTCATATCCAGTTTTCAAACGTAATGTGTCACCTCTCTCTCTCTCTTTCTCTCAAGATGATAATAATTTTATCCTATAGATAGTTGCAGAACTGTAGCGTTATGGTTTTATATTTTTGTCTTTGACCATAACGCTACAGATCCCTTAATGTAAATAAATTGCAATTTACGGAGAAATATTTTCTGCGCACTTTGGGGATGTATTTCGCCACTTTTCAGCATTGGTCAATCAACAACGTTTCATCCCCTAATTTTAGACATTCTATAACCAACCCGTATATTTTATCCACCTCCTAACCGCTTATAGTCGTCTCTACACACCAATAAACTCATGCCATCCGACAACAAATTCACAACAAGCGAGTTTATCGGTCTGTAGAGACGACTATTCATAAAATTATTAAGTACAAAGGCTATTTTTGTCAAATTTTGCTCCGCAAGGTATGCTGAAATTGTTTGCATTTTAATTGAAAAATAGAATTCCTACGGAAAACCTTGAAGGTTGAGTAAAATTTAATATTAGTGAGCAGAGGGATGCTGAACTTTGAAAAATCAATTCCAGTTACTTCATTTTATGTGTATAGGTACTTAACCTATCCATTCTATTGGTTTTAGGTAATGCGCATAACCGTTAAGCAATTAACTTCATTATAAAATATCTATGTTGAGGCCAACATGATGTGCAGAGCAGTCTGTAAACGTTCTCATTACTTATCTGTAAAGATTTTGCTCAACGAAAGTATTTAAAGCTTTCATAATAACACACCTCTGCTATTTAATCTCATTAAATAAAAATAGCCCTTTGTGTCAAGTTTTGATTATCTATTAATCATTTTGATACTTCTCGCTTGCAATTTCAATTCAGTATTTTCTTAAAATTACACTTTAAAACTATATCTTTATCTATGTGATACATGTATGTTGTTGGATGTGTTCTCTAGTGCAAGAAAGAACCGATTATGTTTTGAATCATTCAGCAAACATAAGTTAAGAAAGGCATTGAATTCATTTTACTTTCATTTACATTTTGACCTCAGAATTACAATAAACCTCGCTCTATGTCAAACTAGATATATACATAAATGTGCATAATTCATAGAAACTATCTTTATAGTCTAATTTTTTTCACCACCCTCACTTTGGTATACTTTGCCATGTAAGTTTTGTTTAGTTAATTTTATAATTGACAATTTAGCATAATGATAACAGCATAATTATCTTCTCATCATACAAAGTTCAAAATATGCATAATATAAAAGGTTTTAATTACTAAAATAAAAAGTTGACTTTTCTTTTCAAAAGAACAGCTTTGTAACGTACATGTAGCTTAAAAGTACGTTTTAGTAATAAAATATAAAGAGTGAATTTTTACATCATAAATAACGTTCATTTTTGCAACTGAAATGTTCAAAATAACAAGATAATGCAAAAAGAAGTAGTTTTCAAACGATGCCATATATCCTGCAAAGATATCAAGAACAGCATGATAAAAGAGGGACATGCTTTCGCGCGTACACCAAAATTAAATACCATTGTCCTTTGATTTCAATGTCTCCCCAAGTTTCGATATGAATGCTAGAAGTGCTACGTCCTTTTCCGTTCCAGGGTATTCCATGTACGACTTGCTATCAACAAGGTCCATTAAATGTAGAGGAATCCTTTTCAGGATATTCTTTTCCAGAACTACCAAAAACAAAACATTATTGCCGTTGCGAGAATAAATGGCTTCCATTCGCGCCATGTTTAACTCATACATGCACCAGTATGATTTTAAGAAGTGTGCTGTCATAACACAGACTGTTCGTCTGCTACAGTGAATAGCGTTCGTGATGTTGTCCATTATTCCTGTACCTGGGATAAAATCTCTGTGGTGAATACATAACTTTATATTGTACTCTTTTTCAACTTTTTCAACAAGTTTGATAACAAATCGACGGTCTTCATCTGCATATGATATGAAAGCATCAAAGCGGTAGGAACTATGAGTTTTTAACTGCTGATAATTGTCTCCATCTTTGTATTTGTTTTTTGCGACAAAGTACATATATCGAAGCTTCCATCTGTACCTATATACAATTCTACTCATTGTTACTGTAACGGCAGAAATGATCAGTGATATCATAACAACTGTAGTTACTGTGTACGAAGAACATGTTTTCTCTAATCTGTCAAGTATATGCTCAATATCCTTCAAAGGATATTCTGCAAAATTGCCAAATACACAGGTATAATTTTCAAAATGCAAAAAATCCAAGGTTTTTGAATTGTACATCCACTTCACAGAATCAATATTTTCGCATGAACACTTAAGACGGTTGCCCAATAAATTGACCTGAACAACGTGAGTTGTTGATATGCTAGTTAATGCTTCTCTCGTTAATGAATCAAAGCCTGACAGCTGATTATAAGATATATCAAATAGGGAGAGATTTCGTAAATGACCGATATGTGCTTGAAATTCACTAAGTGAGTTATGACATAACTTCAAACATACTATTTTACTGTTCTTTAAAAAAACTTTTTCTGAAAAACAATATATTCTATTGACAGACAAATCAAGAATTAATAAATGTCTTTGTACTGATAGAATTTCTCCATTCTTATCATTTTCAAAAACATGGCCCAATGCATTATTCGACAGATTCAGGTATTCAAGTTTTGAGAACGATTTAAAAAAATAATTTTGAAATAAAACCACAAAAATTACCAGAAAAATCAATATACTTAATATTTTGTACACCTGTGACAGGTCCAATTAACTCATAGATGATATTTCGTTGTGCAAATACATGAGTTAATTTAGTATGAGACCCAAGAGAAAATTTGGGGATACTCATTTTATATAAATTGTCATGATAATAAAATTTGCGTAGATTTGGAGGAAGGTAAACCGTGTAGTTGAAATTCCCTTTTAGAAAACTATCCATTTTAGGAAAAAGTTTATCTTCATAAGA